AAAAAAAAAAAAAAAAAAAAAGAAAAGGAAAAGAAAGGCTTGCTTGCAAAGCTGGCAGTGTTCCCATGGTTCCCTAACTGGTAAGAATGGTTTACTGTGCCTAGACTGTTTGCACAAACAATGCAGTTTATGCAGAATATTTGTTGTTTCCCTTCCAGGAGACTGGAAATTTGGTACATGCTAGGCAGAGGGTCCCTATATGACCAGTCCCCAATAACAATCTTGGGCTCTGTGCCTCTAGCGAGCTTTCCTGGGAAACAACATTTTACACATGTCATCACAATTGAGTGCTGGAAGAGTTAAGCACGTCCTGTGAGACTCTACTGGGAGAGGACTCTTCGACAATTGAGTCTGGCCTCAGACTTCACTCCATGTGCCTTTTCCCTTTACTGACTTTGCTTTGTATCTTTTCACTGTAATACATCTTAGCTGTCAGCACAACTACATACTGAGCCCTATGAGTCCTTTCAGAATATTACTGGACATGGAGGTGAGGTGGTCTTGGAATTACCCCCCAAAACAGTAATTTAGGTATTGCATAATAAAATGTGCCAACCCACATCCAGTCAGTTTTAATTTCTAATAAGGTAAATATCCACAGATATAACCCACATAAACAAAAGCTCTTTGCAGTTCTCGGTAAGAGTGTAATAGGGTCCTGAGACCAAAAGTTTGAGAACCACTATTTTAGTTTGACAAACTAATAACATGTCGAGGAGACTGATTAACAGGATGTTACATGAGTAACAACGGAAGGAACTAAGGAAGTTAGAGCGGGGTCAATTCTCCTACCACCTACAACCTACATAGAGAAGAGCATACTTAGGGGAGATAGATAGGTATGTTCAAACAGTTCAAGGGTTGTCCTCCAGAAGAGAGAATAGAACAATTATGTGCAATCAAGAGAAATGTCTTGATAGAATGATACTTTTGGGCCACAATATTAGGAAAAAATTGCAAGAATGAGCTCTTCCTCTTCCCTTCCATTCTGTTCCTGAGCAATCCAGTCCAAAAACCAATAGGTACCTAGAGCAAGGTAGATATCCTTGCTGGCCAGAAGGTAAGGGTCGGGGACCTGAGGGGGTTGGGCTTCGGCATAAGGGGGTTGTTCTTCACTCTGAACAGGCAGAAGGGAACATCGGTGCAGGCATGTCCCAGCACAGGAGTGAGAACACTAATACAGTGGGAAGGGCATGTGTGCAGGGGTGATATGGCCGGGTGTGATGAGGCAAGAGCCTAGAAGAGTGTCCACATTTGGGACTGCCTGACTTTGGGGGGAGGAGCAGGAACGGTTTGAGAAGGCTTCCACGTGGACAGAAAGCTTGGTGCAGGGTGGAAACTCAGGTTGGGTGAGGAGGAGGTCCACTGCATGGGGGCAGTCTCGTGGTCTCAGGGCCCAAACAGGGTAAGGAGGACATCCACATTGGAGGAGCAGTGTGGAGTGGGCTATGAGAGCCCAACAGAAGTGAGAAGGGCATCCGGTAAGGGAAGTGACCTAGCATGGGGACTCAGTGGGGGAATCAGAGCCCCTGCATAGTAATGGAGACAGAGGCTACCTCACTGAGCTGTTATTAGGATTAAATGGATAAAACGCATATAGCATATGAGCCCAGAGTAAGCACAATCCCAGCGTTTGCTATTATTAATGGCCATAAAGGGCCTGGCGCAGCACCAAACACAGAATACTCAACAAATGGCTGTTTACTAAATGATTACACTATTACCTCACATCCTACATATCTCATCTACAGACAGCGGCTACTGTCTGGATGCTAAGCAAATTTATTTAGAAAAATTAACTTAACCATAACGACTTAACACCTACATCCTTTCAGGAATTCTGTGTTTTTCACCTAGACTTCCTAATTTGCTCTTCTTGTTTAGTTTTGGTTAACTTTTCCTTTCATATTACTTTAAACTCTCTACTTCCTTTCACACTGACCCTTCCTTCAAGATCTTCTAATTCACACAGTAGCACAAACCCAACCAACACCTCAGAAACACATCTAGGTCGGTGAAAAGAGCTTGAACAGACTCACTGAGTCTACAGCCATTTCTCCACATCAGTACACACAGAATAACTTGGTATGTGTCTTATGTGTTTCATACCTGTCCTTGTTTTGGTGCATGCATGTATATCCCTATGTAGAGTCCCATGGCAGGGGAATAAGCAAGCCGTAATTTGTGTCCAGTTCCAGCAGTGAGCCGAAGGTCTTTCTTCACAGGGACATATTCCAGCATGTCAGCTACCATCAGGCACATTTGCTCCTGTCCAGGAAAACAGTTAATAGGTGATATTCAAGGGATATTCAGGCTAGAAGAACGTACCTTTTGAAAGGATGGACCTTTCATTATATCTACCACTCTATCTAGTTTATCTGCTAAAAGACCTTACAGGTTTTTGTTTTAAAAGGGCTAACACGGGCCGGGCGCAGTGGCTCACTTCTGTAATCCCGGCACTTTGGGAGGCCTAGGTGGGTGGATAACCTGAGGTCAGGAGTTCAAGACCAGCCTCGCCAATATGGTGAAACCCCATCTCTACTAAAAAATACAAAAATTAGCCAGGTGCAGTGGTGCATGCCTGTTATCCCAGCTACTTGGGAAGCTGAGGCAGGAGAATCACTTGAACCTCGGAGGTGGAGGTTGCAGTGAGGTGAGATTGCGCCATTGCATTCCAGCCTGAGTGACAGAGCAAGACTGTTTCAGGGGAGGGTGGGGGGCGGGAGGCTAACATGTAGAACATCTCTTCAGTCTGAAATATAAGATCAGACTCATATAAAATATAAGCTGTATTTTTTTAGATGAATCTTGAAAATCATTTTACCAACTTACATTTTTAAAACATATTTGTTGCTCTTAAATGAAACATCCAGCCTGGGTAACATGGCAAAACCCGGTCTCTACAAAAAATACAAAAATTAGCCAGCTGTGGTAGCATGAGCCTGTAGTCCTAGTTACTTGAGCAGCTGAGGTGGCGAATAGCTTGAGCCCGGGAGGCGGAGGCTGCAGTGAGCTGCATTCATGCCACTGTACTCCAGCCTGGGTGACAAAGTAAGACTGTCTCAAAAAATAAAAATTTTAAAAAAAGAAAAAATAGTGAAATGTATACTTTGTACTACTCTTTCAGTGTTCCTGTAAGATTGATAATTTTTCCAAATAAAAAGACAATAAGGAGGAAATATATGCAAAATAAAGCTAAATGAAACTGTCTGAATCTGGAAGTGACCAATAATTTCCAAACTAATTCATCTGATCATCTTTAAGAGAAACAGCAAAATTTATTTCAATTCTCATGATTCACAATGCTATTTTAACTTACAGCAACTATAAATGTAGCACTTACCTTGTAAGACCACATTCGTAGTTTATGATCCTGACACAGAGCAAAGATGAAGGCATCATGCTCCACACAATGAACAGCAAGACTGAGGGGACGATCTGAAGGCGACTGGTCACCCCTAAAACATAAGACCCAGTTTTAGAGTTTTACTGCTGCAAAGTATCTCATCATTAGAATTTGCAATTCAAGAAATATAATAGAATTATAAATGTACACTCTTAGCAGAAGGACCAAGAGCTTATATGCTAGTATAAGACAACTACATTTCTATTTGGTTTATCACCAATTACTACAATAAAATTTAAAAGGCTCTACATAACAATGGAAGACTGTTTCCTTTTGTATTGTTTTCCTTTAACCATCAAAAACTTTCTACTTCTGATAATTTTACACGAAACTCGATTTGGGTAAGTCAGGGCAGAGCACCAAACTGGGTATTCTGAGAATATAAACAGTAGGCTGCTTTATGCTGTCAATGCATCCAATTGCAGACGAAATGGACTTGGGAGTATGGCTTTCCTCAGATGGAATTTGATTTTATTCTGACTGTTCTCCTTTCCAGTATAATGTTTGCCTTGGAATAAGACTGGAAACAATAACTGCCGACCAGTACAAAAAGATTAAATTCTTGGGCCCTTTGATTTACCTACCAGACACCACTCACCTGATGGCTGTTGGCATCCAGCCTGTAAGCAATCGTTGCATTACTGAACTCTGTTTCAGCTCCACAACTGACACCATACCTGCAATGATATCCAAGGCACCTCTTGAACACACTTTGAGAAACCCAAAGGCAAGAATGATGTAACCACGAACAAGGTCTTTATAATAGGCAACAGGCTTCTGTATTTCTGTACTAACAAAGTTTTAGGACGTAACTTTCCTACATATATCACACCTAAAATATTTTGAATCATTATTAGATCCATAAAAATAGCATTTTTATACTTCCCGTGGAAATTTTTGCCTTTTACAGACAGTAACCCATATTGCCACCCAGCAGAATCACTTCATTCTTTCCAAAACAATCCCTAGGTACCTTTCCTGTGCCAGGCACAGTCCTAGATGGTGGTGACATAGCAGTAAACAAAACAAATTTTAAAACTCCTGTCCTCATGGAACTTATATTCCTTTAGGGGAAGGGGAGAAGCAGAGACAGTTAAATTAAGTAGAATGGCAGTAAGTCAGAAACATAAGACACAAAAGGAGTACAGAGAATGCCAAGACATAGGGAGGGCAGGCAGGGACACTGCAATTTTGAAAAGGGTGGTCAGGGAAGGCCTCAACGAGGTGACATTGAGTAAAGACCTAAAGGAGCTGCGGGAATGAGCCAAGCTAGTAGCTGGCTATACCAAACGAATGCCTTGAAGTAGGGGTGTCCTGGCATATTCAAGGAATTGCAAGAAGGTATGTGGCTGGTGAAGAGGAGGGGAAGAGTGAACAGATGAAGGTAGAGAGACAGCAGTGGGTCACTCTAGGCCAGTGTAAGGACTCTGGGTTTATTCAGCATAACATGATATATTTAAAACCCAACTTAGGTCATGTTGGCCAGGTGCGGTGGCTCATGCCTGTAATCCCAGCACTTTGGGAGGCTGAGGCAGGCGGATCACTTGAGGTCAGGGGTTCGAGATCAACCTAGTCAATGTGGCAAAATGCCGTCTCTAACAAAAATTCAAAAATTAGCCAGGCGTGGTGGTGGGCACCTGTAATCCCAGCTACTTGGGAGGCCGAGACACAAGAATCACTTGAACCTGCGAGGTGGAGGTTGCAGTGAGCCAAGATGGCACCATTGCATTCCAGCCTGGGTGATAGTGAGACTGTCTCGAAAGAAAGGAAGGAGGCCAGGTGTGGTAGCTCACGCCAGTAATCCTAACACTTTGGGACGCCAAGGTGGGCAGATCGCAAGGTCAGGAGTTCGAGACCAGCCTGGCCAACATGGTGAAACCCTGTCTCTACTAAAAATACAAAAATTAGCTGGGCATGGTGGCAAATGCCTGTAATCCCAGCTGCTCAGGAGGCTGAGGCAGGAGAATCGCTTGAACCCAGGAGGCAGAGGTTGCAGTGAGCTGAGATCGCGCCACTGTACTCCAGCCTGGGCAACAGAGAGAGACTCCCTCAGGTGACCCGCCCGCCTTGGCCTCCCAGAGTGTTGGGACTACAGGTGTGAGCCACAGCGTCCGGCCCTTGGGTTTTAAATATATCAGTCCACCTGAGAAGTTTCTGAAGAGGGTTAAGGACAGATCTGGGGAGATATATATAAAGCTAATACAATAATCCAGGCAAGACATAGTGGCAATTTGGTGCAGGGTATTTAATGTCTTTGTTTCAATTAATTTAATTATAATGTCATAACGCCTCCATCTCAGGGTAGACAATTAGGCAACTCATCTCTACTATAGGATTTAGAATAGGCTGTCTTATACTTGTCTACTTGTTTTTCCATGCTCCAATATGCTTTATAGTTCCTTATCCACTGTATAAAAGTAAAGCATTAGGGACTCATTAGGCAAGCAATAATGAATGACCAGTTTCGGGGCAATAGAGATGCAATCCCTGCATTGGATGACGAGGTTGAACTTTCAAGGTCTGTTTCAATATTAACATTCCTTGTTTAAATCCATGCTCATTTCCCATTCTTACCAGGTATGTCATAAGGAGGTAGCTTAAGAACAAAGATTCCCCCAGAAGCACATGGTAAGGCAAACAGGGCCTCCCCATCACTGCTAAGCCAGGCTGTTGAGGCGGTGGAATTAGGAGATATTCCAGGTACTGCTGGAATTAATTGATAGTTGCAAGGATCTGTGAAATCAACTTTTCCAATGTCAGTGAATATTGACTGCATCTGACTTTCAACTACCAACTCCTGTTGGGTAATTAAAAAGAAGAATCTATTAAATCAAAATAACCAGAATTTTGCTCAGTTTCTCTCTATTGCTAAAAAAGTTTTTAAAGTAAAAAACTGTAAACTGTCAAGCTTAAGAAGAAAGTCATTCTTTTTAATGAAAACTAATTCTCAACTTAAAATGTATGCCTGATCATTTTAAGTGGTAGCTATCAAAGTATGCTTGGTGAGGGATAATGAGAATCCAAATTTCCTTCAATTCCAAAAGATATCGCTCCATCACTAAATTTGTGACACCCAGAGTAATTTGGGAAATAAAACATATTGCACTTAGCCAACTTACACTCCTATACATCCGGGAGGGGTGTGGTAAAAGTAACCTGTGCACTGTTTGATTGGTTAACATCAAGATTATCACATGATTCTGAGTCTCAGAGACATAAACCCCTCCAGGTAAAACACTGCAATTTTGGAATTTTAGGCGAACGGCATTATTCAACAGATTTATGTCCAGTGACTCCTCCATCAGCTCCAATGTATCTCCAGAGGTCTTCCTGTTGAAAAAGAGACATTTGTTTGAAAAGTTTATGCTTTTCTTTCTCACTGACTGTTGCACTGAAGTATACAAGAACAGTGTCCAAGTGAATTCACCAAATTTGAAAATTTTGGATAAACAGATTTGGAACACTTTTGCACTCCAAATCACATTATGTAAATTTATAAAAAACAGCATTACAAAATTCAAATTTCATTATGATTCTGTTACATAGAGACATTTCCAAACTTGATAGGTCATTTATTTAGGACGATATTTTATGCAATTAAACTCTACTATAATAAAAATTAACACCATACCCCGGCCATTGCTTGTAGTGGAATACGGCCTCCATATATACTACAGCATCTAACAAAACTAACCTTAATAATTGCGGTTATGTCCTGCTTCTATTACTTCTTAACCTGCGATTGCATGCGTGTGCACACACATACACACGCATAGCCTGTGTGTGTACACATACACACACACAAATAGCAATTGTATACATGTGCTTACATGTATGTGCAAAAATATTACTAAAAAAATATTTTAACAATATAAAAATACCTTTGCAAATTGAACATATCAGGGTTAGTTTCTATACTGATAAGCTATTCTAACTTTTATTATTACTCCTCAAAAGGAGCTTTTTTCTTTTCCCCCACCCTTCCCAAAAGCTTGTTTATTAATTCCAGCTGAGGAGCAAGGCGCCACTGGCAGCCACAGATCTCACCGCTGCACGGGGTTTTAGAACTTCAGCCATAAAAATAGGCAGAATATTCCTTGATCATATTGGTGGTACCTGTCCATTTTCTTATGCAAACTGTGATACAATCCTGACCAACTGCTCAGAATTCATCTCCACGTGGTTCACAGGTGCCGCTGGTAGAGCATTTTTTTTTTTTTTTTTTTTTGAGATGGAGTCTCG